TATTATGCTGTATTACTATATGTTATATTACTCTGTATTATGCTGTATTAATATATGTTATATTACTCTGTATTATGCTGTATTACTATATGTTATATTAATCTGTATTATGCTGTATTACTATATGTTATATTAATCTGTATTATGCTGTATTACTATATGTTATATTAATCTGTATTATGCTGTATTACTATATGTTATATTAATCTGTATTATGCTGTATTACTATATGTTATATTACTCTGTATTATGCTGTATTACTATATGTTATATTAATCTGTATTATGCTGTATTACTATATGTTATATTACTCTGTATTATGCTGTATTACTATATGTTATATTAATCTGTATTATGCTGTATTACTATATGTTATATTAATCTGTATTATGCTGTATTAATATATGTTATATTAATCTGTATTATGCTATATTACTATATGTTATATTACTCTGTATTATGCTGTATTACTATATGTTATATTAATCTGTATTATGCTGTATTACTATATGTTATATTAATCTGTATTATGCTGTATTAATATATGTTATATTAATCTGTATTATGCTGTATTAATATATGTTATATTACTCTGTATTATGCTGTATTACTATATGTTATATTAATCTGTATTATGCTGTATTACTATATGTTATATTACTCTGTATTATGCTGTATTACTATATGTTATATTAATCTGTATTATGCTGTATTACTATATGTTATATTAATCTGTATTATGCTGTATTAATATATGTTATATTACTCTGTATTATGCTGTATTAATATATGTTATATTACTCTGTATTATGCTGTATTACTATATGTTATATTAATCTGTATTATGCTGTATTACTATATGTTATATTAATCTGTATTATGCTGTATTACTATATGTTATATTAATCTGTATTATGCTGTATTAATATATGTTATATTAATCTGTATTATGCTGTATTACTATATGTTATATTACTCTGTATTATGCTGTATTACTATATGTTATATTAATCTGTATTATGCTGTATTACTATATGTTATATTACTCTGTATTATGCTGTATTACTATATGTTATATTAATCTGTATTATGCTGTATTACTATATGTTATATTAATCTGTATTATGCTGTATTAATATATGTTATATTAATCTGTATTATGCTGTATTACTATATGTTATATTACTCTGTATTATGCTGTATTACTATATGTTATATTAATCTGTATTATGCTGTATTACTATATGTTATATTAATCTGTATTATGCTGTATTAATATATGTTATATTAATCTGTATTATGCTGTATTAATATATGTTATATTACTCTGTATTATGCTGTATTACTATATGTTATATTACTCTGTATTATGCTGTATTACTATATGTTATATTACTCTGTATAATGCTGTATTAATATATGTTATATTAATCTGTATTATGCTGTATTACTATATGTTATATTACTCTGTATTATGCTGTATTACTATATGTTATATTAATCTGTATTATGCTGTATTAATATATGTTATATTACTCTGTATTATGCTGTATTACTATAATATGTTATACTACTCTGCTGTGAGGTGTACTAAATCTCTTGTTTCAGGCGCGCGTGCAAGTTTTGACAGGCATAAAGTCATTATTTTCGGAGTACAGTGCTGGAGTTTTTAAAAGTTGAGTTAGAGAATTCTATCATGTTCTAATTTAGGAAATATGTATTTAGTAAAGTACATGACACGTGGCACGTGACACAAGACAAGGTACCTGACAGAAATATGTGCAGTGGCAGGTAGTATTACTTTTTAGAAAAACGTTCGAGGCAACGTGTTAAACGTTATGTAGTTCCCTGTCACAGCACACGCTCAGTGTTATAATACAGGATGGGCCTCAAAAGTCTACCCGTCCTTATCTCTGTAACAGCTCGCTGAGATCTCACTAATTATTTTATTTCAGAATGGAAAAGCGCCATAACTTACGTTCTGATTAATATTTTTGATTCAAATTTTTAGAGAATGTCAATCATAATTAGACACAACTTCGTGCTAAGTTTTGTGTGAGTCTGAGCTTGTCTGACAAAGTTAGCTCCTGAGCGTGCTAGCTTTAATTTCTCACCCAGAAATGTTTACATTGGTTAATAGGAACCACCAAAAAAAATCCTGGGTAAAAAAATTAAAAAACCACCGATTTATTTATGTTTTACCAATTCTATTCATCGCACATTCCATGTGAGAAGAACGATATAAACAAGCAGGGCGGATCATCTGTGATAGTCCTTATCAGTTAAAATATAGAGAGAATGGAATGTGCGATGGATCGTGGTGAATAGAATTGGTAAAACGTGAATAAATCGCTGGTTTTTTGATTTTTTTACCCAGGATTTTTTTGTGTGGTTTCTATTAACCTATGTTAACAGTTCTGGGTGAGAAATTCAAGCTAGCTCGCTCAGGGGCTAAATTGGTCAAATAAGCTCAGTGAAGCTCGCAATCACACAAAACTTGCCACAAAGGTTAAGCTACTTGTTATTAACATTCTGTGAAATTTAGAAGCAAAAATATTTATCAGAACATAAGTTATGCCACTTTTTGTTTTACAAATAATTAGTGAGATCTCAGCGAGCTGTTACAATTTTAAGAGATAAGGACGGGTAGACTTTTGAGGCCCACCCTGTATAACTGGACTGTGCTCCAGGACACTATTGTTAGCATCTACTAAGATCGTTACTTTACTTTTTAAAGCAAAACGAGGTTAACAATTAGCGCAGATATCCGTTAATAACTCAATTAAAGAGAGCTAAATATTACCTGCTTGTTTGTAGTTGTCAGCTAATAGTAAAAAAAGGAAACGTAACTTCATTAAAGTAAAGAAAGAAATACGAAAGTGAAATACGAAAGTGAAATACGAAAGTGAAATACGAAAGTGAAATACGAGGAACTAACCTTTAGCGCTGTTAGGAGCTCTTTTAGCGTAGAGGTCCGTTAGGAACAAAGAGTTAACTAGGGTGCTCTTACCGAGACCACTCTCACCTGGGAAATATTGAGTTAATTTACTGATTAGTTAATTAACTGATTAGTTAATTGACTGATTAGTTAATTGACTGATTAGTTAATTAACTGATTATTTAATTGACTGATTAGTAAATTGACTGATCAGTAAATTAACTGATTAGTTAATTGACTGATTAGTTAATTAACTGATTAGTTAATTGACTGATTAGTTCTTTATTTAATTGACTGATCAGTTAATCGACTGATTAGTTAATTGACTGATTACTTAATTGACTGATTAGTTAATTAACTGATTAGTTAATTGACTGATTAGTAAATTGACTGATTAGTTAATTAGCTAATATATATTGGTGTACCTTCATTATATTGACTTATTGACATTGTGTTATTCGATGAAGTGTTTTCTGGCATGTATAATAATTGAATTTTTTAATGGTCCGCTTTTCAAGAATCTTTTACAATTCATAAGGTTTTATTTCTAATTTTAGCTCGATCACAATGCTAAGAATATGCCTGAATCCATCTGTATTTCAGAGCTAAACGATCGTGACGGAAATATTCTACGTAACTACACACAATAATTACATAATTACATAATTACATAATTAAGCACTTATGCTAATCACATACCACTACACACAATAATTACATAATTAAGCACTTATGCTAATCACATACCACTACACACAATAATTACATAATTAAGCACTTATGCTAATCACATACCACTACACACAATATAATAATTACATAATTAAGCACTTATGCTAATCACATACCACTACACACAATAATTACATAATTAAGCACTTATGCTAATCACATACCACTACACACAATAATTACACAATTAAGCACTTATGCTAATCACATACCACTACACACAATAATTTCATAATTAAGCACTTATGCTAATCACATACCACTACACACAATAATTACATAATTAAGCACTTATGCTAATCACATACCACATGTTCTCCACACAATATTAACATTATCCTTGCACACTGACATCTCTACTAGCACATACACACAGAGAGACACAAATCATCAGATTTAACTGTAAGCTCAGCCCCCGCTTACATATACTCTACCATAATATGTAAACAGGCCGTCAATGATGACGTCACGTCACGTGACATGACGTCACACCACGTGACATGACGTCACGTGATACACCAAATTACATAATCAGACCGATGAAACATGGCACGGTGACACACAACACATCAATAATCAATGTGTTATCACGGGGGGAGTGGAAACCTTACAGAGCCCTGTTTACTAGCTCTCCTCTTTGAAGAGATTGTACTGTGTACATGTGACAAGTGTGTACTGTGTATAGTTGGAGGAGGAGATGTATAGTGTATGGTTCTTAGCTGGTTTTATGGCTTTTATTATGGGCCTTTTTTGTGGTTTTATTGGGTGGGACAAAGGAGTCTATGGAAAAAAGGAGGTGGTCAATGACTAGAAAGTTGATGTGGGACCAGGATACAGGATGGGAAGAATTGTAGAATTGTAGAGAAAATTAAGTTTTAAAATTCCACTTACCAACAACCATAAGAGTAAACTCGAATCCTTTTTTCACACTTTTTCTGTGTACCTAAATACAAATTGCTCATCAGAACAGGCTTTTCCAAAAATAATTTTGCTAATTATTGTTGAGCTTTTTATGATAACAATTAAGAATTAAGAAGTTATTACCAGAAGTGTTAAAATACTCGCACTCAAATAAGCAAAACCTATTTAAAATTTAACTCAAATAAAACAATAAAGTTAGCTGAATATTACCTGGTTTGGAAGATCAGCGAACCCAACATATCCCCCAGTTCTTACACGACCTCTCCCTTCTTTACCCTCTGACATACTAGCTAATCAGTTTAATGGTTAATCGAGTAATTAGTTAAGTAATTAGTTATTGAACGGGTGATCAGTCAAAAAGATAAATCTTATGATTTGAAAAGATTTCCGCAATAATCAGGAACCAGATGATTTAAAACGAGATTATTGACAAAATCCTGACAGTTCAATTTTGTAGGACAATTAAAATAAGATTTTCGTAGCAAGACTTTTAAACCCAAGTTTTCACGAAAAGGTTGGTAATAAATTAGTTTGACGGAACCAAAGTTCAGACCTGGAAAAAAACATCACAAAACTTAATCTGACCTCGCAACAGAAACATCAAATATGAGTCACGGTATCACTACACAGTACACAGTACACTGTAAGGGAGACTATCACAACATTAGGTACATGAATATAAATTTCATAATTATATTCACGTAAATTTATAAATAAATTCAGTGCTTTTAATCATGACGGAGAGGGTTCAGTTGAGGGTTGTTGCATTCATTTAGATAGTTTACTAGTGACTTACGACTAGAAACAGACTAAAGGACCCTAAGTTTACTGTGATCACCAGATTGTGTTGTTAAGTCCGTACTGGTCAGTGGGCCGTCAAAGTTTCACAGATCGTGGTAAATTGTGATTCAACACAAAATCTACCAAAGAGCTACGCCCACAAAGATGTTTGCCAATTTTGGTTTTTTTTTAATTAAGGGTCACCCAGAGTTGTTTCTCTCTGAAAGACGTCAAAAAAATATAAAATGGGGTGTACAAAAATGTTATGGAATGGACATGATCATGATATGATAACTTTCCCTTGTAAGTTGGTTCATGATTTCTCAAGTCTTGACTTTCTGAATCTTCCTTCCTCACGGCTCTCTCCTCTTCTAATTCAGGTTCTGTTCTCGAGTGTTGCAAGCCACAATAATGGAATTATTGCAGAAAAGTCAGCTTTAGGGAAATTCGGTTCCGAGCTGGACATATGAGCTACAGTTACAGTCTTACATGGAGAATATACTTTTCAACTTTGGTTTCACTTTCAGTTTCCGTTACCGCAGGTAGTACTACAGGAGTTTCACTTTCAGTATTCTCCAACGCTTTCAGTTCCTCTTCAACTGCAGCAAGTTTTTCTTGTTCCTCTGCCTCGTATTTAGAGAGTGCCTCCTCAGCAGCTGCCTTGTTCCGTGCGTTCAAATCGTCGTAGAACTCCTGAAAACACACACAATTAATATCACGTTTAGTGTGATTTTATTCTTGCATCATGATTTTATAAAGGTTTTTAAATGAGGCAGCCCCATTTAAAAACTTTTATAGTGCAGCCCCAATAAAATTACTCAGGGGGTTGATTAATGACAAAAAACATTGCACCACGATAATCAAATAACAAGATCAACAACACACTATACATAGTTCATGGCAAGGTTATGACGAAAGCGGAAGTAGCCAACAATTTGCCCCTTCTCAAAACTCAGTTATTCCCTCCTTAATGATATGACAAACCATGCCTTGAGAAAAATTTGGTGTACAGATAACATAAAATTTAGTGCAGATAGCAATAAGATTCATATCAGCTTGGTCAAAAGAAATATGGAATTGCTCTTTTCACGAGAAGTACCAGGATATTTACTGAGTTAAAACGGCAATATGAGGCACAGATGACCTTTCCAGAACTGCATACCGATATGTTTCCAGAACTGCATACCGTATGTTTCCAGATTTTCAGAGCGCCAACTTGGTTACTACTTGGTTACTACTAGGTAACTTTCAGTGCAATAAACTGCATGAGGTGGTACACACAGGTCATTGAAAACTGTTACAATGGTACGTCAATCTAGCAGTACAACACATCTAAACCTGCTAAACTGCATGAGCTTCACAGCATAATGTTACAACACGCCAATTTAGACAACACGTACAACACAATTATCTACATGGTCTCTAAAATGTTACATTCTTAAAACGTTTAAAAATAAATCGCGGCTAAGGTTAGCCGAATTTAAACTTTAATAACTTGATTTTATACACGTTGCACCGAAGTTGTAGTGAGCGGATTTTCTAAGCTTCAGTAGTTTTACTGGTAGTTGGCTTACCATCTGATATGAATCGGATGAAGGACTTGAAGGTGTCATACAATACGTTAGCACATTATTAAGTACCACCTCTCGGGTAAAATAAGTCGCTTCAGTAACGTAGCCAGTGATCTGAGCGTGAAATCTTGAAACAACAAATAAATATTCTGTAAATTACCGATTGTAGCCCAAATTCAGTATATAAGAACAATGAATTGATATATAAATATTTAATCCCGAACCAAAACTAAGATCTTACTACAGAAACGAAACGAGGAAAAAGGGAAAAGCAAAACAAAATAGTAAACCAACAGACTTAGCGGTTATCCGTTAGAAAACAATACCTGGGTCGGGTCCAGAAAACTCTAAAAAGAAGTCTCTAAATATATGTATTAAACAATAAGCTGATGTATAATTAATACTTAACTTAAGTAAGATCAATAGGTATATTTAACTACAGAAACTACACAATTCAAGTTAAACAACATCTTACATCAACAGGCTTTAAAAATGTTAGCAAGCAATACCTGGGTCGGGTCCAGAAAACTTTAAAAAGACGTCTCTAAATATACGAGTGTATGGGCGTACTTTGGATGGTTATCCTCCAGAGAGAAAGAGCAAGGAACGATTAAGCTTTTAACACTCGTTCTAATTTACACAACTCTCAAGACCATTACAGTATGAACATAACATTTACTTGTGTTCGGGATATCTAAACTGCATGTTTCATTCTGAACCAAGTTTTCAACCACGCCTCGATTTAAGGCCGATTAAATCATCATAACTATACAGCGATGATTTTACATATTGGCAAGTTCGTAATGGACACCAGAAAAATTACATTGTCGTGCCAATTTGTCCGGTAAATCGGAGTTATTTCGTCGTACAGACACAAGAACAGTCGACAAATGGTCAAATTAATGGTACACTCAACACTACACAGTTACTATAATAGTAACGACACAGTTACTAAAATAGTAACTACACAATTACTATAATAGCAACAAAGTACTGCTACCCACCAAGTGCAATGTGCACACCAAGTGCAATTTGCACACACACAACTCACATAGAAACCTCTAACGAGCAATGAAAACGACAAGCACTAAACTCTAAACTGTAATATTATGTCACGTCAGAGTAGAGCGACTGCGTACAAATGCAAATTACACACCTAAGCTACTAGGTATAATATGTGCTAACAATGATAGTGAGGGGGCCGAGAACTGACCCCTGAGGTACACCTGCACGTGTGAGAAGGAATAACACACTGCACAATGATAAACGTAATCAAAAGTTACCCACGGGAGAAAGAGTGACATGACTCAGGGTATAGTAGTAGCCCTGTGGCCGGTATTATGTGGGTGAGGTTTCAGGGTTTCCTATAATATCATGTAATATGTTAGATAATGCTATTCCAGTTATTCGGAGAGTCGCTAATTACACGTCCTAACCTGGGTTTAGAACACATTATTAGTATTGCCTAATATGGGCATTACTGCCTAATATGGGCATAATATGTACTGCCATAAATGGAATGGTGGTGTCGGGAGGGCGGGTATTAACATGTTGTGTGTGTGGTGTTACATAGTTTTGTATATTGTGTAGGGAAAAGTGAGGGCTTTAAAAGTTGAAATATTCTCGGTATGTAGGTATACTGTTGGAAGAAGTCGGCAATGTATAATTTGTAATTTGTAATAACTTATAAAGATTAGATTACAGGTCATAATATATTCGCATATCAGTTTCTTACTGATTGACAGGTCCCAGACGCGAAGAAGATACTGAAATTTCTTCCTATCTAAAAATATGACGGAACTGTGCTGCAGAATGATATACTTTGAGGATACAAAATGAAACGACCGGTTGAGTCAGACAAATGTTTCAATCATGATACAAAACCATGATATATATATATGATAACTATTTTAATACTTTCAACACTACTATATAACAAATAATTTGAGGAAACGATGTCCCCATACATTGTCAAATTACTCGTAAATGGACATTAACACAGGTACTCAGCTAATTAAGTTAAATTTTTTTTAAAACAATTAGTTATCAACATAACTTTAACAAACACAGCACGATTCAACAAAACACGTACCACTTTCTGTTAGGAATCAATAATTCCCGCAATCAGACAACGAATGAGTTTCAAAATTCAAATAACATTTTTACAACATTGGCAGAATATCTTACCTCATCATCAATACCTAATATAGATATGATGAGTACTCCAATAAATGAAAATTACCTCATTTTGTTGCATGCAGTTGCTCATGGCGAAGAAATTGTCCACACAATCATCGCCCCTCTCTCCTCCTTGCTCGTCAGCAGGGCTGAACATCCAGCAGCTGAATGCAGATCTAAACTCTTCCACACACGGTCCTTCTGTACCCATACCACCTGGAGAATATACTATGTAGTACTATGTACTAGATCATTTTAGGAGAATGTAGAAATGTAGAAATACATTGTTATACATTAAATATTGAGAATACATTCGATAGTTAAGAAGTTGAGAATTTTCAACGTTTTATAACACACATAACTCCGGCATGCGCAGGGATTACATTTCAATTTTTCCCGCGACGCGAGGGAAAAGTTAATAATAATTTCGAGTGCGAAGCACGAGGGATTATTATGAAAATAACGCCGACGTGCTTTAGCAAGAGGGGTTATTTTAATATAACCTGAGCGGCCGGCCGATCTGTGTTATAAACACCTCCGGGGTGTTGCTAAGTGCTACTGCTAGGGCTAATTCGTTTTAATATTTACCTTTCATTCTAGCTATATGAGATCCTGAAAGTTGGATATTATCCGGTTGGAAGAGACAAGGATAAGTGAAACAAGGAAGTTCGGCAGGAAGGGCATATTTTTCGGCGTCAACGCCATCTTTCAGGCTAAATTTCAGGCTGAAGATGGCGTTGAGCCGAAAATTTGCCTTACTCCTAACTTCCTTGTTTCACTTGTCTTGTCTCTTCCAACGGTAATATCCAATATCAGTATATTTTAATCCTGAGAACTAATAAACAGCGAAAACTACTCGTTTTTTGATATTCCTTAAACTATATGAGATCCAGTTATATATATATTATGGAAAAAATATTGAAATGGAATTGGGGACGTATATTTACTACTTAGATAAATAAAACTAAGGTACTATGACATTTAAATTGACGTTCTATTTAAAAGTTTAAACATTATTCTTCAGTCAGAACGTACAGTAAGGGCCGGCGTCGAGTTAAGCCTGGCAAGCGATAAAAGGTGGAGTTGATATCGTGTCATGATGTTCATCAAAGTATACGACTATAATATATGGCTCATATCAAAGTTCAAACAGTGCAATTGCTACGAAAAAATTTACCGGGCAAACGTAAACCGTCGAGACAAGTTCTGGACACTGGTCAAGTAATGTAAGTGTCCAAACATTACTTGTAATGTAAGCAGTATGTGGAGTTTTGACCCAGCGCTGCAATCAAACCGATGGTAGTTCAACTGTATTTAATAGTTCTTACGTTAAGTCATAGGATCGCGTTGACATGTTTTCCCAATGCCCACTGATCGTCGTAGAGTTAGTCACGTGATACAGCCCCGTGATACACCCGTGATGTTATTAAGCGTTATTATTAAGCGTTATTTATTAACGCGTATTTACACCCAGTTCAGAACGCAACCGTCGCTTTATTAAGCGTTATTTATTAAGCGTTATTTATTAAGCGTTATTTATTAAGCGGGAAAAAAAACTATCTGCCGGGATTATCAGAAATCTCATCCGCCTCCTGATTATAACCGGAGGAGTTTTTAATTGAAGTACACATAATATAATTTGCTGCTTCTGGTGTGTAACATGAGGTATACTTTTGCAAACATGCTCTTTAGGCGTTTTATAGTATTTGAACTTAGGAGCAAAGAAAGCCAGAGGTAGCAAATTTAAATGATCTTTGACAATATTTTGTTATTTTATGAACCTCCCTACTGGACAAGGCGTCATGTATTATATGAGTAGATATATACACATTGTTATACATTTAATATTGAGAAATTACATTTAAACAATGAGCGTTTTGATAATTCAAAATATGTATATGTATAAATGTGTATTCTGGTGTGGAACATAATATCACATGATGTATACTTTGATAAAACAAGCTATTTAGGGGGGGGGGGGGGGGGGGTCCAAGGGGATTTGGGGAGTTTTGGGGGAACTTTTTTTTGAGGTAACTGCAGGAAATACCTGGGGGGACTTTCCCAAAGTTCCCCAAAAAAATTTTCATGCCAAAAAATTATATGCTGAAAGTATCAACAAGTAAGTTAGAATATACCTTATAATATACATACATGTTACATTAATGGGTTTAATGTATATTAGAGAAATTTTTGGAATAAATTTTGAATAAGTTTGAATAATTTTGAATAATTTTTGGAGGAATTTTGGGGAACTTTATTTTGGGGGAACTTCAGAAATCTGGGGATTCCCAAAGTTCCCCAAAGTTCCCCTTGGACCCCCCCCCTATTTAGCGTGGCCCCGTATAGAAGGGAAATGCTTACAGTATTAATTGTGGCGGGGTGCAGGAGAAGCATATTTCATATATTGTCCAATAATCTCGGTTTTCAACACTAAGTCTCGCTTGGAAATGACTTAAATGTACATCTTTGTTGGGTATATTTTAATGTCGAAAGGTGTAATAATGTTAGAATTTATTCATTTCTTTATATTTTATGGTTTAAATACACGTTGTCATCATCAAAGTTCTCGGTGTGAAATTGTATATTTCTAACTTTACAAACTTCCTAAAATTATGGAATTCATGGCTGTTGATTATTACTGCTAATCTCAAAGCTATATTAGACACCATAACTTAACAATTAAAAAGTAATAATTAATTAAAAATGTATGCAATGAAAACGTAACATAGTATTGTTTATAGGGTGTTCACGAAACATCGGTACGGTTTTAAACATCATGTTGTTTTTGTCCGTTTTTGTCTGTTTTGAAAATACAGGGTTCCAAACAGGACAAAAACGGACACAAACATGAGCCCCCCACTTTTCTTTGTCAAAAACTATTGTATAAAACCCACCTAAACACGGGCCAGTCCCAGTTTATATCGCCACTCTCCGCCAATCCCCGGAAACACTACAACACCACGCGACGTGACGTCACAACACACGTGACGTCACAACACCCGTGACGTCACAACACACGTGACACAGGGGACAATACCACCTAAACACGGGACAGTCAGTTTATCTCGCCCACTCTCCGACACAGCCCCCGGATACTGCTCCTGTACCTCCTCACTCACAGGTCCACCTTGTGCCATCGCGTCGCTTGGCGGCACGTCGGCGGCATCGTCGGCAGCCCGTCCTCGCGTGCAGCAGCGATTTCCTCGTGCAGTGCTGTGACCTCCTCGCGCGAGGCTGCATATTCCTTTAGGTCTGATTCTGTTATGAAGTGAACATCGTCCTTACCTTCGATGTAGCTGTACGACATAGCAACCTCTTTACTGGGTTATTAATTAAGTGAAATTAAATTAATATAATTTGAAATTAAACGTGAAAGTACAATTTTATCATAGGAAGTTATCAGGGCACTTATTTTATAAGGATTTGACTGAAAGAAAGAAGCTGATAAAAAAAACAGATAGATTAACGTTAACATATTCTGTAGTTCAAGAAACTCGGTGTCTTTTACCAGCTCACAGTTTTGAGTTTAAAAACTTAAATTCGCAATCAACAAATGAAGACAATAAGAAAGCTGAGTTTATCTTTAAGTCTACAAAATAGATCAAGATACAAGGACAAAAAACACTGTCTAAAACATCACAAGGCCTTTCGTAAACTAACACTTAAACATTAAACTTTTCATAATAACTTTCAACTGTTGTACAATGTACACCATAAGACTGATACTACAATCTGTACACTACTGTAACACCACTTGCAAACCCACTGTAACACTACTGTAAGTGTAAACATGTTAATAACCTTCATAACAAAAGTAAGTCTGAAACAATAAAATATATACATAATTTTAAGGTCATACCGTATTCGGATTCTAATCTAATCGGCTTCGAACTCATGCAAAAAAAATGTTAGTGAAGACTAATGTTTAGGATAATATAAAGCATAAACACATTCAAAGAGATAACACTTCAAATTTAATTTATGTCAAAACAAAATTTACATAAAATAACAGCTACCACATAAATACATTTCTATTAAGATTTAAACAACTTCTTAATTTTAACAGTTGCTTCTGAAGGTACATTTGAAACATAATTCGGAGCCCTAACTAAAAACCCCACGCAATAAATTTAATAACCATTCCCCTAGAGCCTAGTCACAGTAACCACGTGCACCGCGGCGTGCACTGATTAAACTCGTGCCCAAAATACCACCATTGTCACCCCCCAGGTAACCACGTGAAATACCACCCTAGTTCATGTAACCACGTTGCAATACCACCATTAGTCACAGTAAACCACGTGCAATACCACCTTAGTCACAGTAAACCGTGCAAGACCACCTTAGTCACAGTAACCACGTGCAATACCACCTTAGTCACAGTAACAACGTGCAATACCACCCTAGTCACAGTAACCACGTGCAATACCACCCTAGTCACAGTAACCACGTGCAATACCACCTTAGTCACAGTAACCACGTGCAATACCACCTTAGTCACAGTAAACCACGTGCAATACACACTTAGTCACCAGTAACCACGTGCCAATACCACCCGAGTCACAGTAACCTCGAGTAATACCACCCTAGTCACAGTAACCACGGGCATTTCCAAACTCTGAGTCACAGTAACACGTGCAATACACCTTTGGCACAGTAACCACCGTGCAATACCACCTTTTGTCAACAGGTAACACGTTGCAAAATACACCTTAGGCACAGTAACCACGGGTGAATACACCTGTAGTCACTGTAAACCACGGTGCAATACCAACTAGGTCACAGTAACCACGTGTTGTGCATACCACCTTAGTCTCAGTAACCACGGGCTATAACACCCTAGTCAAATTACCACGTGCAATACCACCTTAGTCACAGTAACCACGTGCAATACCACCTTAGTCACAGTAACCACGTGCAATACCACCTTAGTCACAGTAAACACGTGCAATACCACCTAGTCACAGTAACCACGTGCAATACCACCTTAGTCACAGTAACCACGTGCAATACCACCCTAGTCACAGTAACCACGTGCAATACCACCCTACTTAATCTTCTTTCTCTCCCTCTCATAACTAATAAAACGAGAGGGAAAGTCTGTCATTATCCCACTAAACCCGTACCAGTCAGCTGTTTCGTACTCCTCAGCGTGGTTGTATGTACCCAGGCTACGGTTCTTACTCCTCGTTTTACTAGATAGATGCCAGAGTAACATCTGGGTGGTTACTTTTTTATGTTTAAAGCAAGGTTTTGTATAGCTTACAGTTTTTTAAATCAATATAAAATTTCAAATTGTATTAATTGTTCCTTAATTCCTTTCAAAGAAATTTGCGATTGACCTTTCATCTATTCATGCCTTGACAAGTGACCGAGTGTAAACAAAATAGGGGACACCGAAACACCAGTTGGGACCAGTAAACTGGTCATCGCAATTACATCGGGCCCTATCTCAACCTTAATAACACCAGAATGTGTGGGTGTGTGTGTCTGTTGTCTGTCTGTGTGTAATTTCCGACACGGTTATACAAAAAAACGGTAGAGTTACGGGACAGGTTTTTTTGGTATAGTTGCCGACAAAACTCTGATGAAAGCCGTAAGCAAATTTTTTTAAATCGGCCGGTGGTAGTGGTATAATTGACCGTTTTGTACCACAAAATGTTGCATTAAAATGGCTTTAGCAGAAAGCACAAGAGATAGGGGAGGCTTGCTCTCTATATTCACTACTGATAATATGTAGCTCGCATTTTAAGTAGCGTTCATAATTGCGTTTAGCCCGGATGGGGAAGATTCGCTGTAATGTAATTCCATAAGCTTATTAGGGGAGGAGGACTGATAGTGTTTGGGAGGTCTGATTGGACTGCAGAGAGAGAGAGAGTTCATACGACAATGTTATGGGGTTTTTCAACTATAAATGGTTGCGGGTGTGGTGCCGGAGTTTTAACCAAGGGTTATTTCTATAAACGATTTAAATCAAATAGAAGCGGTTCAAGACGGGAGTGATGAGGTGTATACTCGGTGTTCAGACCTTATGATCTTATGGAATGTGGCTGCCTCATGGCTAATAATGACTTAATTATCCACAAAAATAACTGATTATGAGATTATTGTTTAAGAAACTATTGGGTCCTAATGCGGGTTTTGGATCTCAAACGGGTAATTAATCCTACCCTTTTTAACCTGCGGCAGTGAAATCCCGGCGAAGGGCGGGTTACACTAGTGCACATCTAATTGAAGAGATACTATTACTGATTTAATGACTATGTGGCATTTGTACGGGGTTGTAGAGTACCAAAAAAAATACGATAATTCGTGAGCATTAATGCCAGGAATGCGCACAGATCTTTAATCAGTTAAATTACAGTGAAGTTGTCCAGATCAGGTGTGTAGCACGATTGTAAAACCACTCGAGGTTAATCAATAATCATATTTCGTCATGATAGAGAATGTATTGTTTCGTTATTGTTATCAAAGTTTGTGTGTCTGATCATCGTGACAGGGTAGGTAGATATAAGGCATTCATGGTTTTAGGTTGGTCTTATTAGGATCCTGGTTCTTGGTAGAGAAGTATGTATATGTATAATGAATGTTATGTTTATATTACATTAATATGTAATATAATATTACAAACGAAAAAAAAAAAAAAAAAAAAAAAACACTTACGGATTGCACATGTGGGGATAATAGATGGACAGAACACTTAGGAAAGGTGGAGAGGAAAACCACTTTTGTTGCTGATATTAGGATTGGTATTTGGTAGAATTCAGCTTTCAGCAGTGGAATCCAGGGTAGGAGCCCTGAGGTTGTAAATTATTAATTACTAATTACTTAATTAGATTATTTACTAATTAGACTATTTACGAATTTGAATAATTTACTAATTAGATAATTACTAATTAGCACTTAATTACTTTATTAGTCAATTATTGCTTGATTAAATTACAGATTATTCTCAGCTTGAGATTAAAATTTATATAATTAAATGTTTTGTAATATACAATTGGGCACATGCAACCCATGTCGCGGGTTTTCTACTACTTAAACTCAATATCAGAAAACTCAATCCATTAACTTGAATTGTATATGAATTAAATTTATTCTAATAATCACATTTCCCTTACCGATTAACATGAGTAGTGGTAAATTGACCACTTCCATCATACTACAGAAGACAATCGAATATTGGTGATAAGGTTTGGTTAGATGAATCGTGAATGTCTAAACTAATCAACTATTCAACAAACATGGAACATATGTAATTATGTCTAATCGAATGCTACAAGCTTACCTTTTATTTAGCTAAATTATAAATTATAACATTGCTTATGTAGGATAAAGGAACCTAACGCAAGTCATCGAGCTTTACTTCAAATTAAAATCAGGCGTTTTCTCTCCAACACAAAATCTTTGATGGATTTCGTCTAGAAGCTAGTGCTATGACCACAAAACAAGCTAAAACCAAGCAAATTAAATCAATCTAATTATCCACATTAATTATCCATTACCCAATTAACCCACATGTTCGGGTTATGTACCTACACAGGGAAGTGGTAAGATGGACTAAATGTCCCCAAATATGTGAGATGCTCTCTGTTGTACTGCTTCGTCACTATCTGATACTTTGCGGATATAAGCTCGTCCCCACCAGGCTTCAGGTCATCTGATCGGTACTGTACAGAACGGCACATAAAGTTATACAATATCAATTCTCTGTAAAGAACCAGTAACGTGACGTTATATGGAGTTTTTCATCATACAATACACTCATTTGGGATGTTAAAAGAGAAATATTTTATCAATATCGTTATATTTTTAAAGCTGTTTTACAAATCAACGGGTTAGAATATCTTTCAATTTCATTCTCAATAATATGATAATAAACTAATGAAATGAATACAATATATATATTATATGTCAGTCACACCTGCCCAAGCTAGGAGAGCCATGGCAGGGCCAGCAAGGCAGGCCGGACCAAAGCAAAACCTGGAGCCGGGACGGGTATAAATAAAAAATATCAAATATGGAAACAATAGTAACAATAATGAAATGAATACTAACAGTAGGGAACTTCTTGTAGAGATCCTCCAATCTACCCAGTGGATGCTGTACCTCGCATCTCATAAACTCTCCGGCTCGCAGGCGACCTGCAAATTATGGGGTTAATTTACTCCTTATGTTAATGGGGGTAATTTGGTGTATTAATTAATGCTCGTTTATATTTGTTATAATGGATAAGTACTTAGTACATACCCCTGTATTTGGTCTTTTATTATTTTGTCCACACAATTACAGAAATCTAGTTTTACTACTGGAAA